CTAAGTCTGTCTTAACGAAATTAAAAGGTAGTTTATATGACATAGTTCTCATGTATTGACTGACTTTTTGTGAAGTGATTTGTCTTCTGATTTTGGAATATGTAGCATTTGTGCTATGCTTTTTTTTAAGTTCTTTGAGTCTGTGAACAAAAGATTGTGTAAAATCATATTTTTATTCCTTTAACGAAGTGAAGTTTCTCGGATTTTATTTTTAAATAGAGCATAAGGTTGTTTGGTGATAGAATACCTTTTGCTGCATTTTTGATGTTTGAACTGAAATTCTCAATAAATACTTACCTCTTTCTCTTGCTCTTTTTGTTGTTTTTTTTTTAAGAGCTAAAGATTGCCTTAAAGCCATAATGAAAAGGGTAAATCACAAGGTTCCTCATGTTGCTCTGCAGGCTTTAACTGTGAGTAAAAGTCATGTTATTATTTGACCCAAATTTTAAACAATGTGTTTATTTCAGTAGTTAAAATTTCAACATTTATATATTAATTTTTTATTTTAATTAATAGCTTCTTGGGGCTTGTGTGGCAAACTGTGGAAAGATATTTCATTTAGAAGTATGTTCCCGTGATTTTGCAACAGAAGTACGTGCTGTGATTAAAAATAAGGTAAATTTTAAAAAGAAAAAGTTGAAGTCATTAAAAAAGTAGATATATTGTGTTATTTTAACTGTATAGTATTAATACAATTATATTATACATGAAATCATTTTTAGGTAAATTGAAATGAAATAAACTTCTAGTAATTTGATTTTTTTATTTGTAGAAAACCTACTTTTCTCTTCAAAGTACATATACTATTGATAATAGCAGATATTATTGAGGGCTAGTGGGTAGTCACTACTTTAAGCATTTTACATATATTACCTTGTTTAATGTTTTTATCCATCCTTGGAGCATTAGATTTTTGGAAGTTAGATTCTCTAATCATTTCTATTTTATAAATGCATAAAGTGGGGCTTAGAGAGACATTAACTTGTCTAAGGTCATGCAGCTAGTAAGTGGCATGGCTAAGACTCAAATCTAGGTTTCTGTGACTCCAGAGTCCAAACTCTAACCACCATTTTATATTGACTCCTATTAAAAAACAAGTGGAACCTTTATTTTAGAGTAGAGTGGCCGTGGAGATGGGTCTTCATTATAGGGTTGCTGTTGATTTTTTTGACACAGAAACTCTAAAGTGTCATTCTAATACTATCAGTGGCAAAAATCCCAGAATTTGAGTTGAGATGACTTAAAAATCTCAACCTAATATTGAGAATCTTAAGAAAACAGAGAAAATAACTTTTTTTT